ATTTTGGACTTAGTGGTGAATCCTGACCTTGAAAGAGAGCACCTGCCTTCTGTCTCCCATCTTCTCTCCACAGGCTCCCGGTTCATGTTACATGATTATTTTCACTTTTGCTGGATTACAACCCCCACAGTCCAAGCATGACACTCACGGATGTTTGGGGGAGTCCCAGGTTGAATGGGTTCAGCACCCACCAACCTCCGTTCCTGGTCTTCGTTTGGGTTCAGCTCCTACCTGTGTGGATTCTGGGGTGAAGCAGTTTGTATTTAGAGAGACTGTTCCTTTGGTCCGTTCGTCTGTGAGGCTGTCTTCTCTTGGACTCTTCCCTTGAACGACATCTAACTGGGTCTGATACTCTTGGATCACAGTTTCCTTCCCTGTTGCTCTGCATTTCTTCTGTTGTCTTTTAGCATCAAATATTGCTGTGGAGGATAACGTTAGCCTAATGGTTTTTTTTTTTTTAAGATTTTATTTATTTGAGAGAGAGAGAGAGAGCGTGAGCATGACTGGAGGAAGGGGCAGAGGGAGAGAATATCCAAGCAGACTCCCACTGAGCATGGAGCCCCATGCGGGCCTTGATCCCATGACCCTGAGATCATGACGGGAGCTGAAATCGAGAGTCAGACACTTAACCAGCTGAGCCACCCAGGCGCCCCTAGTTAGCCTAATGTTTAAAAAAATCCTTAATGTTGACTCATTTTGCCCAGCTGGATACCTGAAGATTTCATTATTTATTCTTGAAATTCAATGGCTCAGCCAGCATATTAGTTATCTCATGTTGTGTAACAAATCACCCCCAAACTTAGCAGTTTAAGACAGAACACACATGCTGTCTCACAGCCTCTGGGGGTCAGGTGCCGGGCTGGACCCGGCTGGGCCCTCCACTTCACGATCTCTCCCAGGCTGGGGTGGGTGCTAGCCCAGGGTCTGCGGTGTCATCTGAAGGCCTGATGGGGCGGGATCCACGACCATGCTCACGGGTGGTTGTTGGCAGCTCTCAGACCCTTGTGCATTGTTGGTTGAGGGCCTCGGTTCCTGGCCGCAGGTGCTTGCTGCGTGGGCCTCTGTCTCCCGGCAGCTCACGCCTTCCAACGTGCTGGCTGGGAAGGGGCTAGCTGGGTCTATCGATAAGGGAGTCCCGGTCTTCTCTGCCCTTCTCGTTCCTCTCTGTCCTCTGTGCCGAGCCTGGGCGTGAGCGGCTCTGCTCCGATGCTGAACTTGCTTCAACACCGTGGAGAGGCTCTCCCAGCCTTCCCTGGGGCCATTCCCCCCTCACTGGGGCTGCGCGTTGGGGCTCCAGTCAGGCAGTGGGGAGTCTTTGTTAGAGCCCTGGGCCCTGCCATCCTCTGGGGGGTAAGTAAAGACTCTGGTGCACACAGGGTCCTCCTACTTACCTTCCCGGTGAGCCCCTCTGGCCTCGAGTGAAATCCGTAAGGGGTCATTGCTCATCTTCTCCACTTTTCCCCATTTTTCCCCAGCAGCCTCCCCACTGGTTCCCAGTTAGGGGTGGGAACAAAGGACCGCTACTCAGTTCACTTTCTTCCAACTGTGCTGGCTCTAGGGAGACTGAGAAGTTCTGTACTCCAGAATTATGTAATGTTTGTCTCATTAGGTTTTGTTCTTTTCTTTGGTGAAAAACATATTTTTTCTGACTTACTGTTTTTTGCTTTTGGGGGGGAAGGGAAGCCTGCGATGCAGTCCAACCCTCTGTCTTTACAGAGGAGTTGCCCCAGATGATGTGTAAGGCCCCTTCCAGCCCAAACGAGACCCTAACTCTGAGTCTCTGCCCGCCCAGGAGAGCCACCTCTCACCAAGGCCTTTCCCTCAGGGAGGGGACGCTGCCCTCCTCAGCCCCGAGGACTCCTGAGCAAGGACCAGGGATGGGAGTATCTGCCCGGCTGACCACCCCCGGGGGACTCGGAGGAGGCGGGCAGGGTCAGCAAGGATTCTCTGGCCCCTGGGGCGGCCCAGACAGCTGGGCTGGGCAGGTGCCCCAGCTCTGGGGGGCTGTCCTACAACTTGGCCCCTGGGGGACTTCTCTTTCGCTTGCATCTTGAACTGGAGTAGCCAGCCTGGCCAGGGGCTGCCTGGGAGGGACCAAGAGGGACCACCCGCCCTTGCTCTGAGGGCTGTAGCTCCCTGCCAGGATCTAGCAGGTGTCTCTTCTTGGACAGGCAGCAACACCCACCCAGAGAGGCTGCAGTGTGCTGAGTTTTCCAGGAGGACGGCAGAACTCAGCCTCCTCGCTGCCTCGCTCCCCACCTGCCTGCCTCCCAGGTTGCCGGGGCCACTGCCAGACCCCGGGAACTGAGCGGTGCCCTCGCGCCCTGACGCCAGTCCCTGCAATTACCGGTTGGCAGGCCCGGGGGCGAAGTGTGCCAGCCGGCCTGGTAGCTTGCTGGCAGCCAGCGTGTGCCTGGGGCCTGTCCTGAGCGGCTTAGCCACACGGGGCATGGAGTCAATCCGAGGGAGGCCTAGGATCCAATCCTCGCGGTTCTGAGCTCAGTTACTGCCGCCTGAAGACTGGCCCCTCCCCGCCACAGGGGTCCGCCTCCCTCCCAAGCCCCCCTGCGTGTGCGCCCGGAGAGGGTGTGCAAGGTGCGCACACGTCCACGAGGCCGCCAGAACACGTGCGTACCCGTGCACTCACCCCGGCAGGCCCGTACCACCGCCACGCGTGGTGGTGCTTTGGAAGTCATCCCTGTTGGCTCACGTGCACGCACGTGTGGTGTGAGTTGCGTGTGCACACGCATGGGGAGTCTGAGCACACTTGTGTGGCTGCAGTGTGCGAGCACATGTGCGTGAGTCATGGGAGGCACGTAGAGTGTAGGCGCGTGTGTCTCTGGCTGGGGTGACTAAGGCCAGGGACATTCACCCTCACTGCCCCAGCTCGAGGGGGAAATCCTCTTGGGTCTGAAAGGAAAAGGCCAGGGGCTGAGGGGCTCCCCGTTTCTCAGGCTCCAGGCAGCATTCCCAGGCCCTCTCACCCGGGGAACGAAGTCAGGGTGCAGGGAAGCATGCAAGGCGCTAAGGGGACAAGCCGCTAAGGGGACAAGGGCAGAGTCAGACCTCCCACTCGGAAGTCCCCTTGGGGGCTGGTGTTGGGAGGCATGGCGGGGCCTGGGAACCGCTGAGGAGGAGAGGGGAGGCCTGGACCAGGCCAGCAGCGGCGGCGGCCGGAGGAGGGGGCGGAGCTGAGCGACGTTAGGGTGGGAATGGACCACAAGCACGTGGGAGCCCCCACCCCCGTGTCCAGCCCCAGTGGCCAGGTGTAAAGGGCTTTCCCTTACAGCTTGCTGGAGGCAGCCTGTCCTGGGGTCTGTCCTGGCTGCCACGGCTGTCCTGGCCGGCAGGAGGAGAGACAGGGCTCGGGGAGGAGCCCGGGGCGTCCAGGAGGAGCCCGGGGCTGTGAACAGCCAGCTACATCCCTTGAGGGGACTCGGCCCCAAACCAGGGCCCTTTCAGGTGGGTGTTCGCTGGAGTCTGTGTTGGCCACGGGAGCCCCAAGCTCTGAGACCCAGTTGCACAGGCATAGCTGAGGCTGAGGGTGGCCCACCCCTTTGTGGGAGAGCCCTCCTGGCGCCTCGGGAGCCTCTGTAATTACAGGGCCAGGAGGTGGCCACTCCCAGCCCGGCCTTCACCCCGCGAAGCCGCGCGTGGAGGATTGATGACCGGGTGGTTTCCAGGTGTGTCTCAGGAAACCTGGCATCCCCGGCAGCCTGTGGCTGTGGCCTCCGCCTGCGGGCTCCATTCTGGGCTCGGGATCCACCCTGCTCCAGCTGGAGGAAGGAAAAGGTGTATTTCAGTACGTCCTGTGGGTGTGGGGGAGCCGGGGAGAGACCAGCTCCTCGGCCCAGGGTGCGGGGTGTGAGGAGCGACCGAAGGCTGTCCAGGGGCGGGGAGGGCGGGGAGGGCGGGGAGGGCGGCCCGGCTTTCTTGTGGCCCCAGGAGGCCGGGGTGGCAGACCCTGTCGGGCTGGAATGCGGGTCTGCGGCCACCTGAGACCTGCCCTAGCAACTCCCCGATTCCCACCCCATGGGTGCCCAGCCCCGGGCCGCAGAGTTCCCCAGTCTGGGCAGAGGGCGGGGGGCTGGTCGCACGGAGGGAGCTCACGCCCCTGCCCCCCAGCACAGGGGGCCCATATCCCAGCTGCCTTCCTCCTGGGGGCTCTTCGGGCTGGGCCCTGCCCCTCCCTCTGGGCTGGGCTTAACGCCACCTCCACCCGAGGCCTCCCCATCCTGGGCTTCCCTCTGACTCCCCTCTGCCGGCCTCATCTTGCATGGGGCCAGCAGCAGGGATGAGGGTGTGCGGGCCTGGGAGGTGGGTGTCATGACCCTCGCCGGCGGGGTGGCCGAGAGGGTGGACGTGCTGGTGCCTGGGAGGAGCAGGCTCCTTCCCTTCCTCTGCCCTGGGTGTTCACAGGCCTTTGGGAACCAGAGCCCGGGCTGACCCGGGCACAGCCCCGTGACTCCAGGAATGACTAATTCCACTCCAGCAATAAGCTCTTGGAGGCTCTGAGAAATGACTTTTTTCCCCCTTCTTGCTGCTTCATTAAGCTCTTCCTGAGTGAGTGGAATGAGGATTGTCCTAATCCCCTGGCATGAGGCAGGGGGCTCAGGGACTGGGCGAGACAGGTCCACGGTGGCCCCTAGTCTCTGGCAAGCACGGGGCAGGGCAGGGCCGGGCACACAAGGTTATGCCAGCCCCGCAGGTGCCAGGATGGGGGGGAGGCGCTCTGGACAGGCCTGGAAGTCCTGACTGCCCTCCTACTGGGCCCCAGGAGGGACCTCAAGGCCTGGGCCTAGGGGCCTGAGGGCCTGGCCCTCTCCTCCAGGTCATGGCCACCAGCCTGCCCAGACCGGGACGCCCACCCAGGCTGCTGGAACTGAAGAAACAGTTCAGGCCTCGCCTACCCCAGCGAATCAAATCCTGTCGGCTCCTTTCTCCCTGCAGGCAGGAAGAGAATGCAGGGAGGGGTCAGTGACTGGGGTCCTTGTCCACAGGTGTTCCTGGCCCTCGGGGAGCTGCTTCTGTCCTGCAACTGGGCGGTGGTTGCTGACATCCTGCTGGTAGGTGTGGGGGGCTGGTCCTGGGGCCTCTTGAGCGGAGGGAGCTGGAGTCTGTCTGGCTCAGGGCTGGGAGGGGCTTCTGAGACCATGGGGTAAGGGAGCAAGGTCATCCTGATACTCTCAAACATATCCTCGGACCATCACCTCCATTTTGCTGATGAGCAGATGGAGGCTCAGAGAGGGCAGGTGCCCGGACCAAGGTCACACAGCATGCAAAGGCACCGAGCCAGAACAGGAGCCCAGGCCCCATCTCAAGCACCCCCTCTTCCTTGACTACACTTCTCAGCAAGCAGGCTCTTTGGCCTAGGCTCTGGGTGTGTGGATGGGGATGTGGGACTTCAGGGTTATAGCCACTGAGCCAGGTGGGTCCAGGCTGCCCGGCAAGGGGCCAGCTCGGGCTATAACGAGGCCTGGTGCCGGCTCAGCCACGTGACTGTGGTATGTCTAGAGTCTGGCGTGGCCCGTCTGAGCCTCACGCTCTCCGCCCAGCCTCCCTGCCTCCCTCTAGGAGATGTCAGGGGAGGACTTTGGACACTAGTGAGCTGTGCCCTGTGGGTAACACAGGACCTGGGACCCGGAGACCCCCACGGGCCTCCTCCGGCCTCCTGGAAGGCTGGCATAGCCCAGCCCTGTGCACAGGAGAGCCAGGGAGGCTGGCGATAGGCTGACAGCGTTCTGAGGTGACCGGTGCCAGGGCTTGGCCCACACCTGGACTTCAGCCCTGCTTCTGCCACTTCCTAGCTGCGTGTGACCTGGGCAAGTCACTCTGTGGCTCTGGGCCTCAGTTTCCCCGTGGGAACAACGGGGTGAAATACTTGGGGGTTACTGTGGGCATGAAATGACAAGGGTGCCGGCCGGGGCTCCTCACAGGGCTCTCGCCCTTCTCGCCTCCTGGCTCCCAAAGGACGCCTGCGCCCTCAAAGCTGAGTTTGAAAGGGCCATCGAGGCCTACTCGAATACTGCCGTTGACGGGATGCTCACTCCCTGCCTAGACTTCTGCCCCGCACCCCATGGCCCAGGCTCAGCGGGTGTAGACAGTGCTGCCCTTTGACACCCCGGGGGCGTATCAGCTGCAGGGCTCCTCCCTCCAGCCCGAGGACCACTCGGCCACAGATCCGATGAATGGCCCTGGGCCTCAGTTTCCTAGTCTATAAAAAGGAGCGATCATAACCGGCCTGGCAGGGTGAGCCAGGAGGCCTGTAGGAGAGCCCTCAGTAGACGGGAACGTGCCAGCAAACATCTCCCCTGGGGTTGCCCACTGTTGGGCACGGGGAGCTTAACCACCCCCGACCCGGCATCTCGGACGTCCAGCTGGAGCTGAAACCCGCCCCTGCATCTTCCTCCAGCCCCCATGACGCTGCCCCCTTTCCACACGGCAGCCCCACAGATGTGCGAGGACGCGGCCGTGTCCCCCCAGTGTCTGTGTTTGCAAGAATGATTAACCTGGCAGGACCTCTGTAGAGCTGTCGTGGGGGGACAGGGCAGCCAGCGCGGTCTGACCCATGCGGTCCGGCTGGGGAGCTGTCCGGCCGACCAGGCCTTCCCTGGGGTCCTCCCCTGGCTTGGAGGCAGCGAGTCTCTCCATCCCAGGAAGGCTTTCTGCACCCCCTTCCTCCCTCCGGAAGCCCCTCGGTAAAGATTGCCTTTAGAGCCTTTGGTGGTCGGAGCTGGACCAATCCTTGTGCTCCTTGGAGCTCAGTCGTCCCCAGAGAAAGTGGGGAGGCTCCAGGAGGAAGTGGTCTTGGGCCAAATGCAGGCGGGGGGCAGGCTGTGGGGGACGGGGTGTGTGCCGCGGAGGGGCAGGCGTGGGAGGTGACAGCGGCTTGGAGGGCAAGCAGCTGTGTGGACAGAGGGCGGGTGGTAGCAGGAGCCCCGGAGGGTCGCTGGAAGCTGGTGTTGGTTTCCAGCAGTGAGGCACCCCAGGGACAGGCGGGCAGGACCGCAGAGAGGGGTCTACGGGGGTGGGATCCAGCCAGGAAGCGTGTGGGGGCCCAGGAGTGCAGGAGGCCCCAGCTCCTGAGGCCCGGGGGGCCCGGGAGCCAGGAGGCCCTGCACTGGGCATAGTCCCAAGGGGTCGGTGGCGGCTGCACGCCCCACATCAGGCTGCGAGGGACACCGTTCTCTCTGGCCCTCTGATTCACAAGGAGAACCCAGACTCTCTCTGGGGAAGAGACTGCAAAAGCTGTCTGGTCCAGGGGCTCTCGCACCTCAGTGAGCATAGGAACCGGGTTTGGGGAGCTTGTAACAAACTCTGCTTCCTCAGAGTCTGCCTCAGTGGGTCTCTGCGGGCGTCCAACGGTGTGCCTTTCTCGTGAACTTCCCACGTGGTCCTGATATGGACGCTCCTCAGAGCACCCCCGGAGAACACTGGTCTAGCGCAGCCGGCTCCCCAGTCCGCGAACCCCCTGCAGGCTCTGTCCTTGATCCCATACCCCTCTGACGAGAGGCTCACTCCCTGAACCCCAAGAAGCCCCTGCCTCTGAAGGCTCACTGAGGAAAAGGGTCTGGCTCCCTCACAGCCAAGGCCCTCTAGACCCACCCCCAGCAGCCCTCCCAGCCCTCCGGAGGCAGACCCCTTGGAGGGTCCTGCTCCAGGGGAGGCTGGGATCGTGTCCCCCCAGGCTGAGCTCCCTGCGCCCCCTGGCTGATGCCGTCTCCAGCTGTCTCACAAGCCCCCTGTGTGTCTGGGCCCCATGAGGGCGGCCTGGAGCCAACCTTCCCACTGCCAGCGTCAGGGACTAGAGCAGAAGTGGAACTCACCTGCTCTCCCAGGTCAGGTCTGTCCGCTGCGTTCCTCCTGCGCAGAGCTCCCCGGCCCCCCTGAGGGCATCACCCTCCTGTTCTTCCCGGGCCCTAGTAGTCTCAGTGCTTCCCTGCTCTGCCCACCCGTCAGTCCCACCCTCCCCAGTGCAGCGGGGTGTGAGGGCTGAGTGGGGAGTGCAGGAGGCAGGCTGCCAGGGAGTCCATACCTGGTGGTCGCCGCTCTGACGTTCTGCGGGCCCTTGGTTGGCGCGGGTTACGTCCCATACTAAAAAGGGAACAGCTCTTCTGAGAAAGGAGAGTCAGAAACAGAGGTGCTCTGTCTCAGAATAGAGTGGGCCTGCGGTTTTAGGAACCCAAAGCCTCTAACTTCTAAAATTACCAGCTTTGGTCCCCCCGGGCTACATGGAGCCAACGCAACGGAACAGGTTGGGGACCCACAGCTCCAGCCCCTGGCAGCAGAACCTGGTCTGGGCCCAGCACTTCCTGGGGGCGTGGAAGGGACCTGACTCTGAGGGTCTAAGCAGCCGACATGGACTTCTCCTGCGCCCACCCTCCAGAACCAGCGGTGCATAATCACGTAATTATGGGGCAAGAAGGAGGCACGCGGGGCCGGTGCAAAGCCAAGCTCAGCTCCTTCTCTGGCCTGTTGGCAGGTCCCAGTGAGGGGGGCAGGTCCAGCTTCTCTCGCCGCCTGGACAGAGTGGCTCAGTGTCTGACCTGGGACCCCCGCTGCACAGTCTCACCAGCCTGTCTTGTGACCCCCAGGTGCTGGGCTCCTGCCTCCACACCTCTGCTCACTCTGCTCCCCCCCTGGAACGCCTGTCCCTCTCTCTCTGCCAGTCGTCCGCGTGCAGGGCGGGGGTGAGCTTGCCCTTCTGTCTTCCAAGCATTCTATAGCAGACACACAGCATCTCAGGACAGGCTCCTCCTCGCTTGTAACACATCCTGGAGGAGCAGGCTTGGGGTCAAATCCCAGTCCTGCTATTTCCTGCGGGGTGACCCTGGAGAGGGGACCCACCCTCCCTGGGGAGAGTTCCCTCATCTGTGACCCGGGGATAATAATCATGCCTCCCTTTTGGGGTGCTTGAGTGGATAAAGAAAATGTATATGTGAGATCTATAAAATGCATACGGGAAGCATATAATACATGCCAGTTGTTAATCTCTGCTGGGCTCAGGTTATGGACACCTAGGTCTTGGGGATGAGCCCCCACTTTGGGACTGTGAGGCCGCTGCTTGAACCCCTCCCTTGCAGCAAGCCTGGCTTCTGGCTGGTTCTACTGGACTTGTCTGCTGGGCGGACTTCAGCTAGTCCTCTCTGGGCCTGGCGCCCCGTTGTGCCCCAGGGAGCTCGAGAGAAGTCCGACAGGGGCCTTGCTGCCCAGACGGTGTGAGTGTGGGGAGGACAATGGAGGGACCTTCCAGTGTGGGGGGTGCACGTTCAGGTGGGGTGCACACGGGCCGTAGGGCAGGCACCCGAACTCTGGGAGGGTCAGTCCTGAAGGACAAATAGGGATGCTCTGGCTGGACCGGAGCGGGGCAGGCTGGCCAGGCAGAAGGGTCTGCAAGTGTTCTGCCTCCTGGGGTCACAGGGCATTATTTCGGTCTGCTGTCTGCATGAAGAATGATAATGAACATATCCCCCCAGTAGGTCCTGTAATTATCCCCGTTGGGGGACGCAGACACTGAAGTCACACAGCTAGTGAGTGGGGGGTCTGGGATTGGAACCCAGACACTCTGACTCCAGAACTCATACCCTCTTCCAGGGCTCATGGGGGTCTCTCCAGGAAGGCTGCCTTTGGTCTCTGCCCAGTGGGGCTTGAACTTCCTGAGAGGAAGGGCCGAGCCCTCTGTGCCCTGCGTCCGGGCATCCGTGCCCACGCCGGCCTGCACTCCCGCCTCCGTCCCTGCAGTCACAGCCCTGCCTGGTCCCTGCCCGGTCCCAGAGCAAGCCCTCGAGAGGGGGGCCCTCATCTGGGGCTGTGGCTCCCCCACCCCTTGGAGGGGCCTGACGTTCCAGTGGTGGGGCGTCGCTGACCCCCTTCCATCCCACTGGCTTGGCCAGCCTGCCCCAGCTCCGGGCGGTCCCAGCGGGGAGCAGGAGGTGGGAACGAGGGGCGCCCGCGCTCTGCCCTTTCTTGGGGAGCTCCCCTGATACTCCTGTGTTTTGCAGTCTGTGGTGGTGCCCCGGTGCCGAGGGACAGCAGAGGCGCTTCAGATCACGGTGGGCCACATCCTGGGGGACGCCGGCAGCCCTTACCTCACTGGCCTTGTAAGGGTGGCTCCCGGTGGGGGCGGGGGGCAGCCACTGCCGGCTGGCCGGGCGGGCCTGGCAGACGCAGCCTCTCTCTGCAGATCTCCAGCACCCTGAGGGCCGGGCGCCCCGACTCCTACCTGCAGTCCTTCCTCAGCCTTCAGCAGAGCTTCCTGTGCTGCACCTTCGTCATCGCCCTGGGCGGCGGTTGCTTCCTGCTAACCGCGCTGCGGCTGGAGAGGGACCAGGCCAGGGCCCGGCAGCCGGGCACAGGTACGCCCAGCCCTCCCACCTCGGCCAGGCTCGGGGCTGAGCCTCACAGGAGCGGGGAGCACGGGCCACCCCCGGAGCCTGCTGATTTGTTAATCTGTTCATTCATTCAAAAGTGGTCATTACCCACCCCACCCCCCGCTATGTGCCAGATGCAGGGGGGTGAACACCTGGGATGCTCTAGGAGATAGAGACCGACAAGAAACAGGAAGAGCAAAAGATAGAGTACGTGCAAGGTGATCAGCGCTACGGAGAGGTGTAAAGTAGGCCGGGGGGACGGGAAAGCATGGGGGCAGCCTGCAGCTGTTGAAAGGCTTGTCCTAGAGGTCCTCGCTGCACAGGGCACATTGGAGCAGAGGTTTGGAGGAGGTGAGGCAGTGAGCCATGCGGCTATCTGGGGGAAGGGGCTCCAGGCACACAGCCAGCCAGTGCAAAGGCCCTGAGGTCATGTGGCTGGCGTGGCTGGAGCGGGAGCGAGGGGGGCGGTGGTAGGGATGAGGCCGGAGCGGGCACTTGGGGGCCTTGTAGGGACCGTGGCCTCAACTTTGAGACTGTGTCGTTTCCTGCACATGGGCCCCAACGTGTTTATTTACAGTGCGAAAGCTGTATAGTGTGGTTGCTGTGTGCAGAACAGACTGGGGGGGTCAGCGTGGAGGCAGGGGGCCACCAGAGGCTCCGCACCACCAGGGGAAGCGGTGGGGCTGGGACCTTGGGGCGGCCTTGAAGGTAAGGAGAAGGGGTCGCATCTGGAGCTCATTCTGACAGCAGATGTGAGGGGTTTCCCAGCCCGGTCCCAAGGCACCTTCTGCCTCCTTTGGGGCTGGCTGAGCATCTTTCCTCCCGCAGGGACCCCTGGCAGCGAGGACACGGAGAGCCGAGTCCTGCTTTCCAGCATGTGTGCTACCGCCGAGGACCCCTGAGGCCCCCGCGCCCCCGCGAGGAGGTCCCACTCGCCTGCCGCACCCCTCCCGCCAGCCCCGGCAGCCTCAGCGCCTCTGTCCCCGTTTGGCCTTGGCTCCGGGACCCGGCACGGCTGCACCTGCCACTGCTTCACTCCCAGCTGGAGGGCTGGGCGTGCCTGAGGCCGGGCTGGGGACTGAGCTGTCCGCACTCTCTGCTGGGAGTGGGGGCCGGAGAGGAAGAGGAGGGCAGCCCGGGCGAGGGCTGCAGGGCCTCTCCCCACCCTGGACCCCTCGCTCTGCAGGGCAGAGGGCACAGGACACCCCTTTGCCAGGGTCACCCTCTGAACAAAAGGGGGGCATCCGGTAGTCTCGAGGGGGGTTTCACTCTGCTGCCCATGTGACTTCAAGCTCCTGGAGGAGGAAGGGCGTCGGGTCCCCCACAGACTCAGCTGCCCTGGGGCCACGCGGGGGAGGGGGCTCGCAGCCTGGCCCCTGCCCCCTGCTCATGCTCCGACCCCGGCACAGCGCCCGGGGCGGGCTGGCTCTGCGGGCCCCGCGCTTGCCACTGGGTTCAGCGCAGCTGGGCGCGGCAGGAGACCGACAGCTTCCAGGCGGGCAGCAATGGGGAGGCGTGTTCTTTCTGCCCCGTGAGCACCAGCTTCTCTGCCCCTGCCCTGGTGCCTGGCCAGCAGGGGCCTGCCTCCCAGCAGCAGGCTCATGCTCACCTCCTGACCCTGCCTCCCTGCCCCTACTGCCGGACAGACAAGCTCCGGGAGCTGGGCCCCCCGGCTCAGCTCCCCCATCCCCATCCCTTCCCCAGGAGTGGCCACTGCCAAGCTGACCAGCCCCTCCACCCACAATCTGACCCTTGGAGCGCATAAAACACGCTGCCCCTGAACTTATAAGGAAAAACCTGCACCGGTTACGGTGTTTGCAGGGGATCCCACCTCTCCAAGCAGTTTTCTCCTGGCCTCCACTCATTTCTGACCCTGTGTACCGGGAGATAAGGTCAGAGTCCCCGCCCAGGGTAAGGGTTCAGTCCTCCAAGACTGCTCACCCCAGCCCTGCCCAGTGGATGGGCCAAGCACAGGTCCACATTGTCAGCTGTGCTTCTAACTGACCAGCTGTGAATCAGAGGCTCCCGTGCCCCCTCCTCAGGTTCTGTTAATCTGCTAGAGCGGCTCGCAGAGCTCAGGAAACTCATTTACTCATTAGATCACCGGTTTATAATAAAGGGCACAGCTCAGGGACAGCAGGTGGGAGGGAGGCCCAGGGCGAGGTGTGGGGCAGGGGCAGGGCCGCCGTGCCCCCTCCAGGAGCCCCATCCACCAGCACCCCCGCGCGCTCACCCTATTCTTTTTGGCTTTCGTGGACGCTTCATTACTTAGACACCATCGATTAAACCACTGGCTTTTGGTGATCGATTCGACCTCCAGCCCGTCAGTCAGTCGTCCGTCCGCATTGGTCAGTGGGGGGACTGGGAGTTCTCCTGGCCTCCAGCCTCCCCTTAGGTGGGGTCCAAATGCCACCTCATTAACAGACAAAAGGCACCTTTAGGTCTCTCAGCATTTAGGAAATTCCAAAGGTCTTAGGAATTCTGTGCCGGAAACAGGATGAAGACCAAACATAAGTCCCACGATCACACTTGCTTTCTCCTGAGAAGGAGACACCCAGTCTGGGGGGGGCCAGGATGCCATGGACCCGCTCGGCACCACCGGCTGTGTGAGCTGGTTCATTTCCTGTAGCTCAGACTCCCAGCTGTGTTTTAAGAGGGGTGTTGAATGTGGCTTTTCCAGCCCCCATTGTATGACTCTCACAGGCTGGGTCCAGGCCCATGGAAGCCCCGCTCCAGGATCCGAACTTTCCTCCCTGCGCCCCTGGAAAAGACCCCTGAGAGGCTCAGTTCCCAGAAAATGGGCGAGGGCTTCCCAAGAGTCAAAAGAGCCACCCCACCTCCCCAACCCCAGAGTCCAGAGGCTGGGGAGGAAGATCGGAAACCTCATCCATACGACTGCCAGAAACAGGTGGTGGGCAGAGACGCTGACTCTGACCCTGCCCTTGGACCTCACAGTCCAACCCAGGGCAGGGTAATACCAGGCCAGGCGTGGCACACCTGTGGGCAGAGGAAAGCGTTCTGTCCCCCAGGAGCCTCTGCGCAGGTGGGGGGGCAAACAGCAGGAGAAGGTGTGGGGGAAGGGCACTCCCCCTGGAGAGGGTGGGCCCCGCAGAGGTGCAGGGGGAGGGGCAGAAGGCTTCTGTGATCTTGCAGGCTTGTGTGTGCTTTGGGGGCAGGAGAGACTGGCTGGGACGTGGGGCTTGAATCCTGAACCCAGGGTTCTTCTCAGTGTATCCCGGTGTTTGGGTCGCTGGGCTGGGCAGGGTGGGGCTTGCTAGGACTGAGCTGGACAGAATGCCCAGCTTGGAGGTTATAGGGTGTTCTCATCTAAAGCTTGGAGTCAGGGTAGGGGCCTGGGCTGGCGGACTCCGGGAGTGAGACCAGGGCCTACTCTGCTGGTGGTCCTGGCCCAGCTGTGCTCACACTCCCACCACTCCTGTCTCACGGGGCTGTCACTCAGGCCTCGCTGCTCTGGGGCCACAGGTGTGGGTCCCTGAGAGCCCAGCCGCTCAGGCCGGAGCCGAGCGGTCAATCGATCACACCTGTCTGGCCTAAAGGACAATTCTGAGCAATCCCAGAGGCCCCGAGACTCTTGATAGCCTCGTTCGTGGGGAATGCATGGCTCAGCAGGCCCAGGCCCTTAAGCCTGACCCACCCCTCAGCGTGTTCACTGCTCGTCCCAGACAACACGTGCATTCTAGCTCCCAGCTGTCATCGGGACACGCAGCTGTGTCTGTCAGAGTGCTCATCTCTGTGTCCGCGTGCGAGGGTGTGAGGGTGTGGTGGTAGGTCTGCTCTTCCTCCACCCTGACCTCAGGCTTGGAGGGTGGGGTACAGGCCTTGAGGTGGTCACCCCAGCCCTGGCTTATTCCCCTGTCACACCAGACACTGTTCAGTCCGTCTCATTCCCTGCAGTGCACGTCATTCCTCCATGTCTGAGTGGGAATGTGAAGTGTCGGTTGAATGCGGCCTCTCGAGACAGAGCCCGCAGGAGGCCGCTGGCGCCAAGCTTTACCCACACAGGAAGGTACGGACTGCGCGCCCGTGTGATTCTGCTGGTTAGGGTTGGAGGGCTGTGTGCAGAAGACACCGAGTGGCCATCTTGGGCAAGAGAGGGATTTGTTGGAAGCACATTAGGAGCTCACAGAATTGATGGGAACAATGCAGATTTGGGAGCAGGGCTCCTGGGCCGCCTTACTGGGGACCTTCCCCAAAGTGCCAGACGATTTTCCCTATTTTCCTGCCCCCTACTCCAGATTTAAAGCCCAGGGCAAGAGAGTCCAGTTGGACCCTGTGGCCATTCCTTGATGTTTAGCTCTGTCAAGCCCAGGACACCAGGGTGCTGCCGGGAAGGGGGTTGGACTCTGAATATCAAAACAGAACAGCAATGAAAGGAAAACAAACACACACGAAGATGGTGTCCATTATAATGATCTTGGGCAGGCCACGGGCCCTCTCTCAGACGCAGCCTCTCGGCAGGACCGCAAAGAAGCTGGGCTCAGGATCCTTCAAGGGATTCTTTGTTTCTGATAGTCTGAGTCCATGATCAAAGGAGACTGAAGCTTCTATCATTTAGAAAGCATTAAAAATGTTCAAATGACAGAACAGGGACTTCTGTGTTTGTGGGGACTCAGAGCCATCTGTTCCGAGCAGGAGAGAGAGACAGGGACAGAGCATTCTGAGCAGGACTCGCGAGGCAGGCCCAGGCTGCGGGGTGGAGGGCCCCGGACAATTCCCCTGCTTGGCAACAGCAGGAGCAGAGAGGGGCTGCCGCCTCCCCAGGGCTGGGTGCTGACCTGTGGAAAAGGTAATAGGAGGGTGGAGGCAAGGGGCACATGGAAGCTAATGGAGGGTGGAGTCAGTCAGGGAGAAAATGCCTTTTCCAGAGGGGCTAGGAGAGGAATCTGGCTGGTTTCTGAGTCACTCAGAGCAACAGATACATGATGCAAATCAACACACACTTCCTGTGCACCTGCTAAATGTCATTTACTCATTCAATCAACAAACATTCTCTGGGCACCTCCTTTGCACTGGGCTGTGGAGATGAATCAGACAGTATGGGGCCCTGAGGCTCACAGTTGGGGGTGGGGTGGGGGGGTGGACTTATGTACAAACATAACGCAATGAGTTTGGTGAGGGAAGCATACACAGGTTACTCAAGTATCCCAGAGGAGGAAATGACAATTTTCCAGGTGGGTCAAGGAGGGCTTCCTGGAGGAAGTCATGGTCTGTGCTGGGTTTTTGAGGGAAAGTGGGAGCAGTGAGCTGGGTAGACCCCCTAGGCAGAGCATGACTAAGGGCAGGGGGAGGGGGGGTTCCCAGGTGATGCTCTCCGTGGTCCTGAACCGCATTGTGTTGAGGGGAGAGCAGGGACTATGCACACACACCCCCAATTCCTGTCACCCCTCCAGGTTCCGGAAAGTATAATATCAGTGAGTTCAGGGAGCTCTATTTTCAGTGCGGTGGAGTGTAAGTTTGAGAGCTGGGCAGTAGGATCTGAGGCTGGAGATTGGCATGGGTCGTGAAGGGTTCCGATGGGTCTTGGAGATGGTGTTAAGGAACTTAGATGTTTTTATCCCTTGGGCAGTGCGGAGCCGTGGAAAGGTTGTGTGCAAGGTGGTGATGGGGTCATGTGTGTGCTCTAGAAAGTTATTGGCAAGAAATATGGAAAAGACTGGAGGGGGATGTTGGGGCAGGTGGTGTTGAGTTTTAAAAACGTAAGACATAGAGACGTTTGAGCTGAGTCCGTAGGCAATGGCACACTGGGATTTTAAAGAGAAAAAGTGGACAGGCCCCAGATGTGGTTGTTGAGGGAGAAGGAGTCCCCAGTGACCCCAGGTGTCCTGTTCAGTGACAATGAGGATGACGGTGCTATTTGGCAAGAGATAAATGATACCAGGGTGGAACAGGCTTAAGGGAAGGATGATGAGTTCAGTTGTGATTGTGCTGAGTTTAGGGAGCCGGGGGAGATCTGGAGGGGGGTGTGGAGATGAGGCCACATCTAGAGATGAAGGTTGGGGTGTCCAGGGCACATGGATGATGGCTGAGAGCCTGCCGAGGGCGAGTGTGCCCCACGAGAAGGGAAGAGACAGGCCTGAGCCCTGGGGGATGGGCAGAGGGGACTGAGCTCCCCGTTATCAGCCTCAGGGAAGCTGGTGTTTCTGAGAGTGCTCTGCAAAGTTCTAGACACCGTACAGGATGTTCTGTGGGTCATGTCCCCAGGGGGACACAGCAGCCTATATCTCCTCCCGGGAGACTCACAGTGCACGCCCTCAGGTTAAAGGCTCTGAGACGTCCAGTCCCTCAGTCCGGAAACCTGTTGCGGTCTAGGCGTCACAAACAAACATGGAAGACCTTTAGCCATCCCTGAGATCAGCCTCACCTTCTGGGGCTGCTGAGGAGCTGTGTCTTGGCAGAGCTCAGAGCAGCATCGGGGGCAGGCACACCTGGGTTTAGTGTGAGTCCCACAGTTTACCAGGCGTGTGACCTTGGGCACATTCCTTCTCTTCCCTGGGCTCAGTTTCTTCACCGGGGAGATGGGGAGAAGGGCCCTACAAGTCCTATGTCTGATGGTCCCTTGATAGGACACAGCCGTGGCTGTGTCTCCCCGCAGCTGGGCACTGTCCTCTAGCTGGTCCCACCCCACAGTTAGGAGGGGCATTGCCGGGGCCCAGCCCCAGCCCCATGGAGCTTGTAGGTCGTGCTGACCTGTTGAGCACCTGTCGTCCCGGGGCGCCCCACAGAATTTCCCTTACCCGGCTTCAAGCTGGAAAGGGGCAGCCGGGAACTTTCAGAGCAGAGTCTGTTTCGTGGCCCTCCTGTGACAGTCATCCATCCCCAACACACCAAAGCATATTTTTAGTCACTTTGCAGAATTTAAAATACACCTCAAAGGCGCCAAGAAACACCAGCCTGGGGATGAACTCTGCTCTCAGCAGGAAGAGGGTGCCTCGTGCTACGACACCCACTGGCTATGCCGTGACTCACTGTGGCCAGCACTTTGGTGGGATGCACCTGCCTGTGGACTCGGGGTCCAGAACAGCCCGCAGTGGGAGCTGAGCTCCCAAGCCAGGAGGGTGGTATCAGAGCCGCGGGTCAGCACGGACTCTGCCACCAGCTAGCCGCACGTCCATGATGGGGTCTTTTCTGGGCCCTGGGACCCGCCTGTGAAACCTGGGGTGCTTCTGGGTGTCCAAGCTCTGTGCAGTGTTGGCATTCTCTCCTCAGCACCTTGTGTGGGACTTTAATTTCAGTCAAAGCCTCAAACAGATGAAGGGGGCGGGACACAGAACTACAGCTCCTCTGAGACGGGTTGTGGCCCCGAACACAGAAGTCACTCGGCCACTCTCCACGGGAGACAGGACTCGCCGTCCCCCACAGCGGGTGGTGACCACTCAGACTTCCAGACTGAATCCTGTCCTCCTCTCTACCCCCGGAGAGACACAGAGACCTAGAGAGGGCTACGGGCCTGCCCTTTGTCCCTTCCCTGGCGCACAGCTGGAAGTCCGAAGCTTGGGGAGGCCCCATGGGAGCCTGGCTCTCCCTGCCGGGGGCTGCGTCTCGGCGCGCACCCAGGAACGGGACCAGGAGAGGTCAGGAGCCGGAGCGGGGCTTCCCTGGGGCGGAGGGCAGCATAGCCCTCTGCGCCCGGCCGAGGCCTGGGGCCTGGGCCAAGCCCCCCACCGGTCGCTCCTCTAGGCTCTCCCCAGGCCGATTCGATCAGGGCGGGTGGGCAGCTCTGCTGCGGGCGCCCCGCCCACGCGCCCGAGACCCTCCCGCCTCTGCCCGGGACGCCGCACGCGCGCCCGGAGCCCCTCCGCGCGGGGCAGTGCGGGAGCCCCGGCGCCGCGCCCGCGGCCGCGCGGCCCGCTGCGCCCCCGTCGGCGGCCCCGGGCGGCACGTGCGGGGCGGGGCCGCGGCCGAGCCGCGCGCCGATTGGGCGCCGCCCGGTGGGCGGGGCCGGGCCGCAGCTGTCAGAGCTCAGGCGGCGGCGGCGGCGGCGCATCGCTGAGCGTGGGCCGCGCGCAGCCGGGCCGGAGCGCAGGAGCCGACGGGCCGGCCGGGATGGTGCAGCGGCGGCTCCGCGGCGCACGCACGCCCTGAGGGGGCCCGCGCCGGGCGCCGCGCCCCCCGCGCCCCCCGCCGCCCCGGCCCCGGCCGGCATGATGTGCCTGGAATGCGCCTCGGCGGCGGCGGGCGGCGCGGAGGAGGAGGAGGCGGACGCGGAGCGGCGGCGCCGGCGCCGGGGGGCGCAGCGAGGGGCTGGAGGTGGCGGCTGCTGCGGGGCGCGGGGCGTGGGCGCCGCTGGAGTCGCGGCCGCCGACGATGAGGTGCAGACGCTGTCGGGCAGCGTGAGGCGGGCTCCGTCCGGACCCCCCGGCGCCCCCGGCACCCCCGGCTGCGCCGCCGCTGCCAAGGGCCCCGGCGCTCAGCAGCCCAAACCAGCCAGCTTGGGCCGCGGACGGGGGGCAGCTGCCGCCATCCTCAGCTTGGGCAACGTGCTCAACTACCTGGACAGGTACACCGTGGCAGGTGAGCGGGGGCCCACCCAGCCCGAGAACCAGGACCCCCCCCGCCTGGAAGTACCCCGGGAAGCCTTTGGTCCCAGGGCCCCTATATTCGAGCCTTACGGGGGGTTTCTAGGGGCCCTGTGCTCAGGCACAACTGGGCAAGTGAAGCCCGGCGAATCACGGGTCCAACCCGGGGACCGCCCCCCTGCCCCCCGGAACCCCGCCGGGCCAGGGGCTAGAAGGAGTCCCCATCCCTGGAGTAGCCCGCGCGTCCTCGCCAGCCCTTGACGTCCCCTCCGTTGTCCTCTTCTCCGAGAGTCCCCTCTGCCTCTCTCTGTGTTCTCGCTTCCGCGCCCCTCCCGCCCCAGCCTCAGGTTCCCCGGCCTCTCTTCCCCTTCCCCCAGCCCAGGCGGTCTGTCGGGGCCGTAGCGGGTCAGTTCCTTCCTTCCTCCGCCGCCTCCACTCCCCTGCGTGCGTGCGGCGAGTGCGCGCGCCCCTTGCGGGTGTGCACCAGGGGGGACCGGGTGTGTGCGCGCGGGCGGCGCGGGTCTGTGTGTGAGCGCGTGGCTGACAAAGGCTCGGGGCTGCGGGGAGCAGAGGGAGGGGCGGGGCGGGTCCGCGGCGCCTGGGGACCCAGGATGCGGTTTGCAGCTGGCCCTGGCTACAGGCCTGAAGACGCCTCCCCCTGCTCTGTGGCGCTTGGGGTCTGGGGTAGAGGCGCAGCTCCACTGGGGCTGGAGAGGGGGCCGCCTCGTCCCGTGGGAGCATCTCTGGAACCAGCCTTGGGGATGGGGTGGGGGTCGATAGCCCTGCTAGTTTCTAGTCCCAGATTTGCCCGTTGTGCGCTTGGTGTGTGACCTTGGGCCAGTTTCAGCTGGTGTTTGTGAGGTGGTTGATCCCTGGGCCCCTGGGGGATGGACAGGGTTCTGGGGTTCCGGCGGCTCACTCGCCCTCCCCCAGTTCTCAGGGGTCTGCGAGTAGGGCCCTTCTGTGGACTGAGCTGCGTCTAGGTGAGAATGGTGTAACCTTGAGAGAAAAGTACTCTGGCCAGGCTGGTATGGGGGTTCCCTGTGGGAGGCGAGCAGCAAAAATACACATGGCACCCTGGCCCAGAACCTGCCTAAACACAGTTTAGCAAAATCTGGAACAACCAAAAAAAAAAAAAAAAAAAAAAAAAGATAGCAGGAGGAATTTTGGACAGACTGTAAAGAGAACTTGGTAGGTTGGGGGAGAGGAAAGGAGAGGAGAGCCCTGGCGTAAACCATGTGCCCCTGCGTCCCCTTCCCTTCTCCTGGCCTCAGTCTCCTCTGTTGAACGGGGTTTTGTGTCACCTAGGAGGGAAGAACTCTGATGGGAGATCCTCCTCCCCCTCTCCCGCTCTCAAAACCCCTTGGCCCTCTGTTCTCTCCCGTTCCGGGGAGTTGGAAGCGGCAATCAGTGGTGCCAGCTTCTGAGCTGAGCCATGCCCAGGAGGCTCTTTCTTTGGTCTGCTGAGCAGGAATACTCAGGACATGTTGCCCGAGACCTGGGAGCTTAGGTGTCACCGTAAAGTGGGGAGAAGTCTGAGAAGGTGGGGCGCTTCTGAATACAGAGAGGAGACCGAGGCCCCTGTGCAGCCCATGTCCGAGATGGCCTGGGGAGTGCAGATAAGGCAGGCATTAGGCCCACCAGTAAGCCTCGGCCTGGGAAGAGATGCCCCACCTTTCAGGGGACATGGCCTGGTGCTGCTTCTGGCTTTGCCACACTTTACAACTTGTTTTTTTCCGGCCGCAGACCACCCCTCCCTGGTATTCTCAGGGTCACTGACTTTGCCAGGGACTGAGGGGAGGGGGTGGGATCAGGGAGGTGTGGAGCTTATCTGCCCCCAGCCCTCCTTGGGTCCCAGAGTCAGCATGGGAGCACAAGATAGGAAATTCCGAGTGAATGGGTAAGGGGGGATGGAGAGTGGCAGCTAAGAGGGGCGTGGGGCCGTGGGGAGGAAGGCCCGGAAAACCCTGTGCAAACAGCATCCCTCCCTGTCCCCGGCCAGGGCTCAGGCACCGCCCCTCCCCCAACACCCAACGACAACAACGTACACAGATTTCCTCTCCGGATAAGCCTGGCTCCCTCTCTTTATGGCCGTCTCCCCCACGCCCCAGCCCCCAAGTTCAGTTTTTAGGAAGATTTACTGTCTCTATGACAACTACTATGGTTTGATGTGTTTGGAGGGGGAGGGCAGGGGAGTGGTCATCCTAGGCCTGAGTCCACCTGTTGCTGGCTGGCCCAGCTGGGACACAGGAGGGGATGCAGACCCTGAATTGCTCCGTCATCTTTGACATTCGGCCCGCCTGGCCCCTGAGAACCTCACCCATGTGGCCCCGCCTTCCTCATCAAAGAACAGAAGGTGTTCCGTTCTCTTCCTTTTAAATCTGTCCTGTGCTTTCTAGCTCTATGGTATGGACCAGCTCTGTCCAGAAGGGGTATCGTGCAAGCCACATACGTGATCTAAATACTTCTAGGAGCCACGTTAGAAAAGTAAAAAGAAATAAGTGAAGTGAATTAATGTATTTTATTCAACCTGATAGATCTAAATATTTCATCGTGTCATCAATATAACAGCTCTTCATGGGACCTCTTGCTCTTTTTCTCACACTGACTTTTGGGACCTGGTGCATGACCTACGGGGGTACAGCCACGTCAGGCGGGACAGGCCACAGTGCCCGGGGCCACTGCAGCGGGCAGTTTGAACCTCATCTTCAAGGCCAGAGTTCGAGGCAGGCTCTCAGCTTCCCAGCTGGTGACCTTGGGGGTGTCCCCTGAGCCTTCTGGGTTACCACTTCCTCCTCTCCACCTCCTGGGCTGGTGGACCACACAAGGATATTTTTAAGCACCTGGGCCAAGCAGACCCCCAGGAGAGCCGCACCATGTCGGCTGCCTTCCCCTCCGTGTGTCTGCACCTGCCGTGTGTCTCCCCGCAGGCCGGCCCCTGCGCCCTGCCCGTGTTTGTGAGGCTCAGGCCCTTCCAGGTCCCTCTGAGAACCCCTCCCTTGGCCACCAGGCCGGTCTCCATCCTGGGAAACTGCAGGAGCTTCTGCCTCTGCCCTAGCATTCCCAGCTAATTATGGCCTCGCCTCCTCCCCATGAGAACCCCCTGAGGGCAGTGGGCCTCAGAAGCAGGTGAGGGGGGCCAGCCCTGGCTCCGGTCCGGGCTTGGCTCTGGCGCTTCTTCTGGGGTTGCTTCAGTTGGGTAAGATTGAAGTAGCCCAGAAGCCACCTCTAGATGCTTCCGTCCATCTGCTTGTGTGGACAGAGGAGGATAGGCACCTATTCAAGCTCACGCAGCGAGAGGAGCGGGACCAGGACCCCTGCCCCGGGGCAGTGTTCTCTTGGTGGGGGTGGGGATGCATGCCCCCTGCTCCAGCCGGGGCAAGAGCCCTCTGAGCACGTGCCCTTGGGCTCGGTGGGACAGGCAGTTGGCGGTCCCCTTGGGCACATGGCCCTTGCTCTCGTGCTGGCCTGGCAGCCCCTGCTCCCCACTCTGAGCCCGGTCATGGCTGCCAGCTCAGGAGAAAGAGGAGCCCATCAGGCGAGGGTCTCGGGGCCTCTCTCCCCAGCTCTGCTTCCTGGTGCGAGGGCTGCCTCTGGGCTCCCACTCTTCCCTCTGTAAAATGGAAGCAGAGCCAAGGACGTGGGAGGCATCACTCCGCTCCCGGAGCCAGGCCCAGCCCGAGGAGCTGACATGGGCCTTGTTCGTCGTCGGAGGGGGGCTGTCGGGAGCTGAGACCCTGCCCCAACTTCCCTGAGACCCAGGTTTCTCTTCCTCTGATCCAGCCTGTGGCAGACTGGGCACTTGAACTTGGGCAGGGCAGGGGCTGGTGAGGAGAGGCAGAGCCCTGCCCTGGGGGAGCCCCTTCCTGCTAGAGAAGCCGAGACTGGTCTCCATGGCAACCACTCACTAGCACAAACCCAGGAGAGCTGAGCGTGGGGACCCAGCCGGGCACGCAGGCCTGGCAGGACACCTGAGCGGGGTGCAGGAGGGGGCTGCCAGCCTGGGGCTCCTGGCTCTCTGTCTGAAGCTGACAGATGGGGAAACAGAGGCCCAGGGCCTTGTGCAGGGTCACCTGGCTGGGTGGAAGCCAAGTCAGGCTCCTAGCTCCGTGGCTATCTTCGTGGATAGAGATGGTCCACGGCACCGTTGCCCTGCCCCTCAGGTGGCCTTGTCCCCTTGGGTGGCCCTGCCCTGGCCACTGCCACGTCAGTGCTAAGCTGTGCTGGGCGGGGTGTCCCAGGGCCACATTCCAGAGGGCCTGTCTGGCAGGCCAGCGCGCAGGTGAGCGGCCGGGCCAGCCTGGAGTGCCAGCGCCCGGCTCCTTAGGCACCTTCCGGCTGAGCTCTTGGCCCGTCAGAGGACATGCCTTGAAATGCACTACTTGATCGGGGACCCAGGGCGTTACCGGCCCGCTCGTGCCTTGGTTTCCCACTTTGTGACGGGCAGGAGGACCGACCGGTCAGAGAGGAGGTCCCCAGACAGGAAGTGGCTTTTGTTTCTGCCTGGGTGTGGGGGCCTGAAGTCCTGCCACCGCCCAGGGGCTGAGAGGGAGGGAGACCAAGAGAGGGGGGCTTGGTCCACAGGCTCCTGTGGGGCCCCGGCTGCTTCCTGGTCTTGGCTGTGCCGTAACCGCTGTGTCACCTGAGGCAGAGTCTGAGCCTCCCTGAGCCCTGAATGCACGCACGATCGATGATTCTCTTCCTCCCTTTCTGTGGTCGGGATCTTGCTCCCGCGGGTCGTGTGAGGCACGTGGGCCTGCTGCGCGCAACCCCCCCCAGCTCTGCCTGCACCCTGCTTCCCCGGGACAACCAGGCCACTTCCCCAGTGGCTACAAGCAGCCCAGCTCAGTCTCCCCTGGTGGGTCTCAGGGGTGCCTTGCCCTCCTTCCAGAAGGCTTCCCCAGCTCTGTGGGCTGAGCCCAACTCCCAACCACATGCTTCAGCACACCTGCCCCATTGTGAGGGGCTGAGCCTAGTCATCTGCGTGGCCCTGGG